TTACTACTACATATTAAAAATTAAATAAGTGTAAACTAAGAAATACCTTGACAAAAAATTAATTTCTCAATGACATTAAAAAAGAATTCTTAATCCGTGTAAAAAATGAAATAAACATGTATAATCGGGACAGAGAGAGTATATAGAATAACCCAGTCGTTGTTAGTGACAGGCCAATAAATAGCGCAAACTCTCACACGGAATTAAGAAAGATATTTATTTAGCATTATTTATCGTTTTTTTCCTCCCATTTTTGGACAAAAACTCCGGTTTTTTGAATTGACAGCAAGAAGTCCGAGATTTCGACAATATGAATGTGACTTCTGTCTTATCTCTTTTTATTGTAAATTAATATAAAATGGACTCCCAGTGATATCGTAACAGCTAACTAACATAAGAATATGTTCGATTCGATACAAAATTTCATGTTATTATTTTCTACGTCTCTCGGCTTTCAAACCCAAAAAATAAAAGTTCTTAAGGTTAAAAATGAGTCAAACTATAAAGAAATGGAAATTAAAATCTAAAAAGAAATCTTTGGGCTTAATTAAAAAAAAAAAAAAGGGTTGTCAAAGCACAATGTTGACTGGAACACGTAGAAGAACCGGTTAGGACTTGATCAACTCTTGAGTCAAGGGCTACTTGGTGGAAGACTTGATCAACGACGTCGTTCCGTGCGGGAAGGAATTAATGAATTACGCCTCATTTATTTCATCTATTAAACCACTAATAAATGACACAAACATTTATTGAGCTAATTAGTTTACGTAGGTATACTAGGTTGTTTTAATGGATTTTCAAATTTTTTTTTTTTTGTCAAATAAAATTATTCGAGTTTTGTATCGTTGAAGAACAAAATTAAAAGCCTCCGCAGTAAGAATAGTTCAATCGAATCCAATAAAATTAGTTATCGAATTATCTAGCCCCATATTATTCATATTATCATGAGTTGAGTTTGCTAATGATTACAAATTACTAACTATGACAACATCAACTTGTCTCGATTATGTTTGACGGTTATTATTTGGTAAAAAAAAAATTTTGAATAGTGAATTTTTAGATTATATGTGTGTAAGATTTTGGGTTTACGTGGAAATTATTTTATTGTGTGAATACGTAATTGAAAATGAGTATGTAAAATATAGAGTTGTCAAACCGAAGCTAAAGAATTTTTATTATTTTTTTTTTCTTTTAAATTTTTGGCCAAATGAAGTGAAGGATCAAGGAATTGATACCTTCATTAGTACATAATTGATATATTTCAACTTACCAATGACCAAATGGCTGTTGCCCGCATGTAGGAAACAATCTTGTTGTAGCGTTTAGTAGTAGCTCGTAGAATTTTTCAGGATTACAATCCTACCACCATATTTGTATGAATAATACTATCTAGTATTAGTGCTGCTAGAACAATTGTTTAAATAGTTACACATTATATATTTAATTAAATGAATCATATGACATTGTATTTAAATGAACTTATCTCACCTAAATTACAGCTTGACACAAGTAATACTGGATATTATTTCTTCAATTTACCTATTCCTTCTTTGGAATTGTCTTCTTCTTGTAATTGAATATCCCACCGGTACACCAACCTCTAGCCCAACTCAATAAAGACGAAAGTAAACCAAAAGGTGGTCCCCCTCCAGGTACCTTGTCGATGGACCATCTAGTGATATACAAAAATAAATAAATAAATAAATAATAATGTCTAGACGAAGGTCTAGATTTAGAGGATTTGTTAGAAATGTGATGGCTCAGCAATTTAATTGATTTTATTTCTATTTTTTAGGATACTAGATTTCTTTCTTTTTCACTTTACTTATCTCATCTTTATGGGAAATTTTCAAAATCCAGACATTAACTATGCTATATTTCAATTTTAAAATGATAAGTTTGTAATTTCAAAACTCAGAGAATCCTACATAGGGATAATTTAGCTGCAATTAATCCCTAAAATCAAGCGACTAGTTTCCATCTGTGAACAAACTCCCTAAAATTTATGACTTAATTTATTTAATAAAATTTATGTATGATTTAATTAATTTATTTATTTATTAAATATATTATGGTAACATATCTATACAATTTGATCACAGATTCACAATTTAATTAATCACATATTATTTTTCAGTCACAAATCATAATTTTTAAATGCCACAAATTATTTTAGGATCACAATTCAAAAATTTATAGTTAGCAATTTATTCAATGGTCACAGATCAAAAAGTAATCCGTCAAAATTTGATGTATTGGTCACAAACAAATATTATATGTAATAGTTTATTAGACGATCACAAATTAATATATTTTTAGTTCACATTAGTCACGATTTATCTTTTTCATCGATCACATATTGTTTATTGATCACAGATTGACCAATTTAATGGTCATAATCAATCAAATAATCTTTGATCACCACCATAGCAAGCACAACTCCACCAGCCACCCCTCACCATTGCAACACAAACCACCACCACATTAATAGAGACCAATCACCAAAACAATGAAAAATAAATCACAAGATCTTGTCACCCGACCGATGTCATCCCACACACAACCACCATTGTCACCATTGACCACTGCAGACCGCCATCAACACTCGTGACAACTACCACCGCCCTGACCACCACCACAGCACACCACCACCAATAAACCCCAAACTCGACATCACCGCCGCCACCATGATGAAAATAAATGAAAATATAAGGCTCACCGCTCAAACTAGCAGATATCATCGAAACTGAAAAGTGTTTTCTTAAGCTGCCAAAGAGAGAGAAGACGGGTGGAGAGAGATAATACGGGTGGGAAGAGAGAAGAAATATTGGAGAGAGAAGGAGATTGGATATAGAATAAATACGTGTGGGAGGAGAGAGAAGGAGATTGGAGAGAGAATAAATAATATTTAATATTTAAACATGTAAAATCTGAATTTTGAAATGTTAAATTACTCATCTGATTTTTGAACCCTAGATTTTAACTCTAGGGATTTTTGTAATTTCATCCATCTTTATTTCAATATCAATAAAAGACATGTAGGCGAAAAAAGTATGGCAATAAAATGAAATTCATTGGAGACCAATTTTAAATTTGATCGTGTATTCGTTAGATGTTAATGTCATATAGATTGCAATTCATGGAACGCACTGAAAATACTATAAGCAATTGTCAAACAATTCTAAGCCTTTTGTCAGCCAACTCCGGATACTCATTTTTTTAGTACATGATACATCTCTTGTTTATACACTAAAAACACATTTGTCTACCATGTGTGTTTTGGTACATATTACATTGTCTTATACAACTAATAGTACTATAAAAAGAATGTCTCACATGGGGTGGTCGAGTTGGTGGAATAGATGAGCGCGGATACTTTTAATTACAAGTTCGATTCCCCCTACCAACACTTTCTCGGTCGAGACTATCGCACAGGGCTTGCCTAGTGCGGTTTACTTGGCTGACGTAGTTTGCAGGCTATTGCGCCAGCCTGAGGGTTTATCCAGTGCGCACTCGAAAGGTAGCGACTGCGGGTTCCCACGTTAAAAAAAATGTCATGAAAATTTAAGTGTAGTCACAATGATGGAATAATTAGCCTATTCACCTTCACGGTGCATGCTAAATTTCTAATTACTTTCTCGTGCATTCCGATTTGAGTAGTAGTGTGCATGAGCAAGACTCGGTCAATCTTATAAAATTATCAGTGCAATTGGCTTTCCATCCGGTCAACGCCAAAAATACTTTTCCATGATCGTCATTAAACGGAAAATATTTGTTTCCCTATTATAGTTAAATGAAAATTGAATGTAATTCTAAACCATATAAGAATTTCTTGAAAGAAGAATATGATCAGTTATATGATCAAGTATTGGCCTTCTCTATCGTATCGAATGTAGTCAAGCAATCCAAGCAAACTTTTGATAAATGTACTATAAAATCATTTTCTTTCTCCGTCTATGTAATATTTTTTACATCTTTTTGTGCAATTCAATAAATTGCAATGCTATACAAATCAACCAATTACAACACTATATAGATCAAATTTTATTTTCACAATCCTGTTAAGGATATTACAGTGCATACCAAACATATTATTATTTAGTGATAAAGAAAAAATTACATGACAATCCCTCAAAAGCTCGGAGACCATATTTATAAGAGGCGTCAATAAAGTATGGAGTGCCGATAAAATTGATATCAACAGCATCTGCTAACTTGAATTTTAGTCTGTCGATACCTCCATTGTACCATCTCTACTAAAATTTACTGAGCCTTGCAATAAAAATAGATCTTCTGCATCTAAATTATCTTTTTCAAAATTGAAAAAAAAAAATGAAATTCAGTGAGATTCTAATTATTGGAAAGTTCAATGACCAATTGAATAATTAACCCAATTTCGAAAAGGACCGTCAAGTTTATCCGACGTTTGGTGTAGAAAATTACGTGCTCTTATCACTTTCGAAGTCAACAACTGAAGGACCACCGTAACTACCTAAAGCAAGGACCATTTTTTTTTTTATTTTATTTTTTTTCAATTTACATAAAAGAAAATTAAAATTTTATATGATGTCCAACGAATCCATGAACAAGTCCAAATGGTCTGCCGCCGTTGTTGACCAATCTCTCCACCTTCGACTCGGCTGCTGACTCGTTAACTTGTAATATTGTCATCACTGATTTCCACGTGGACGGAGTCAGTAATTTAGTCAAAACATGATCAATATTATTTATTATTAGGTTTTGAAATTTGTACACCAAAGTTTAACGACCTACGATTTGACAATTCCTCGTATATTAACAATTACGGAAAACGGATAATGGTCATTATTTATTTACTGTCACATTGTATTTCTATCAATAGAATTGGACAGTGTTACTTTAATTCAAATTAAATCAAAGTATAGTTACCTGATCGAGAATAAAATTATAGTGAAGTTATCCGATTGTACCATATTGAGCCCCTATTTGATAATCAAATCAATATTCTCACGTTGTTGTTCTTCATCTTCTTCTTCGTCATCGTCGTCTCCTCCTCCTCCTCCACTTTTTGTACAATCAAAAGTAATTAGTTTACAGGTTGAAGCAAAGATTCAGTAATATTTAGCATTGAAAAGAATATTTACATAGCATTATTAAGGTGAAACTTGCTATCGATCAAATAACCCAACCACCATGCTCCATATCATGTTGCTGGATACTGACTTATATTAAGGCGCATGATGTATGGTAATTCTAAGGCACCACAATACAAATGCTCCCCAATTTTGATGCCGGATGTGATTCGAGATAGATCATAGTCGTAATAGTGTGCAATTGGCTTTCCATCCAAATCAACACCAAAAATCCCTCCATTCTTCTCGAGAAGTGGTGATCGGCCTATGTATTTCTGCGTTATCGCCATCACCTTACGGGTGAAAGCATACCTTTGTGACAAAGTCCAAAAGTATGTGACTTCCTGGTACATAATTTGTTCAGAAAATTGCATGAACAAGTGGTACTTGTAAACTTAATGAAACCATATCAGAATTTTCATCAAGGAAAAATGTGAGTTATACCATGGGAAAAGCAATCCAGTATTTCCCCTCTCCATCATATCGAATATTGTCCGGCACTCCTGGCAAATTTTCGATAAATGTATCCACATGTCCTTTTTTCTCACCTTCTATGTAGTACTTTTTACATCTTCTCCTGCAATTTAATCATTTACAACACAATAAGACTCGATACTTCTTTCTCATTATGGTGTAAAGATTAGTATTTAGTAATGCACGTTCGATAATAATAGATAAGACTACAAGGTACAAGCCTAATCTCCTTTCCCCAGTGGACAAAATAAAAATTTCCCATTTGAATACATTTTTCCTTCCATAACGTTGTCCAATCCAGCGTAAAGAAAAACTTACATGATAGTCTCGCAGAATATAACAGAATTCCGATCAGGTGAAACTGTAACTCCATTTGGAAAGTACAAGTCCCGCAACAGCACTTTTGTTTGTTTGGTGGAAGGATCATAACTCATGAATCTGCCATAGGGTCTGCCCTCGAAAAGATCCGAAAAAAACTCGTTGAGAGAGTATTTATAAGAAGCATCAGTAAAGTAGAGAATGCCGTCGAGATTAATATCAACACCATCGGTTAGCTTAAATTTTAGACCTTCAGCCTCATCGGTCAGCAACTTCACCGTACCATCTCGACTCACATTTATTAACCCCTACAATTTATATAATCAGATTTTTTGCATATCTCATTCCTCAAAACATAATTATTTTTCTCATTATTTCTTTTCATGTACATAAAAAAAGAAAAATGCTCATCATGTGAACACCAAAGAAATCATAATAAAGGCATCTCCAACGGATGCACCAAAACACCAAAATTCACCAAAATTTATAACAAAAGCTTTCCAACGTGGCACCAAAGTTTGCACCATTTTGATACAGAAGTCATATTTGCCCTTTTTTCCCATTTGTCAAAGTAATTGATGAAATTTGTTTGTATCATTTGTGTTATATATTTTTTAATACAATAATTTTCATTATTATTGTTGTTGTTTAAATAAATTTCAAAACTTTTAAATGTAAAAATAATAATTAATGAATTAATTAAAATAAGAATACAAGAAAAAATTAAAATATAGCAAACACGATTATTAAAGTTGACACGAAATATATTACAACAATCACATACATACATTAATCTAGTTTTATTTTAATATATATATATATATATATATAATAACTATCTTTGGAAAGAATATATGAATTTCAAGAATTAAATTGCAATAATATTTCGGTTTCATAATATCATAATATCCAAATTCAAAATACATTGCATTATTTCTTAATGGCATGATTTAATATTTTCATTTTTGTAGTGTTTTTGCTAATTGTACTATATTTTTTATACTTATTATGAATTTAGTTTTTTCATTAATTTAACGTAATTTATGTATTTGTAAAACAAATAAATTATTTAGAAAAAAAAAGAGAAAAAAAATGATAAAATAATGTTTATTTGGTATAAGTTTTGGTGCAATGGTTAAGGATAATTTTTAATTTGATGTAAGATTTGGTATAAAATTTGATATTGGAAATGGCTTAAAAGAGCAAATTGTAACGACAAGGACCGCCCTAATCGGGCTATTATCCCAAATATTTTTTGAATAATGCTATTTGCAGTAACTTGGAGTCGCCCTATATGACATACATGTGGCGGTTAGTAATTTGATATATGATGTAAGAAAAAACTATCATATTAATATATCAAATCATAAGTCGCTATGTAAAATATCATGTAGGACAACTATTACAGTGAACCACTATAAATAACATTACCCATATTTTTTAATGAATTGAGCGATCAAATAATTTTTATTATAAAATTGTATTGTTTGTCACTAACCTTTACAGCATCTGCTACGATGACTTCACCATGATGTCCACGAACAAGTCCAAGTGGTCTGCCACCGGTGTTGACCCATCTCTCCACCTTCGACTCAGCTGCTGACTCGTTAACCGTAACACGGCTGATCCACCCATCGGCACAACCGGTGTATATAACTCCGGCGATAGGATCATAAGCTATATCTTCAGGGCCCAGCAGCTGACCAACCCCGATTTTTTCTGAGCCATGAAGCATGTGACTGTTTCTCTTGGGCACAAACAGGGGCTGCTTTGGAGTCAACTCGTGGTCGGGATATGGAGCCGGATCGAAGGTATCGAGTTGGTAGAGAAGCACGGCCACGATGACTGGTAATATTACCAAAACTGGGATTCTATAGGCCATTATTTTGTGTTATAGAAATTATAAGAGATGAGTTTTGATTTAAAAAGGAAGGAAGGTGAAGTATGAGTTGTTGATGATACTTTAACTATTACTATTTCTAGACAAGCTTTTAAATTTTTGTTTAAACAAGTGGGGATGAAATTGACGTTGCCGAGAACTCGCTCCTGATTGGCCATCATTCTTTTCAAATTTTAATGATTGAAATAATTTTTTTTTCAAAATATATTGTTAAAAATAAGAGAGAAAAAAAGAATGGGAAAGAGAATGGGTCAAACGCCGGGATAGGGAGGTAGGATATCAATTTTAAATTGAAGAATTGGAGGAAAACCAAAAATTGTGTACTTGGTCCTTTAAACTCATACCATAATGAACCAAGTCCAAATCGAATAAAACACTATAGTCTCTGTTTGATGATCATTGATCGACGAAAATTTTATTTGGAATATTGAATTCCCCAAATAGAGAATATTTTTAAATTTACGTATAAAATATTTTATCGTGTGAATGTGTGATTAAAAATGAGTACGTAAAATAAAAAATGTGAAATAATGATTGTCAAATATGAGTTAAAACGAGTTCTAACTGAACAAGGAAACATTTGAATAGTCCAATAACGGTGACACTTAGAATATAATTCAACACTTTCGCATGATTCAACCCATCGAGGGTGGATTTTTTTGGCCCCATTCTGAACTAGACGGGATGGGTTTTTTTCTAGTAATTATCATCGCGCTGCAGGAAAATCAATGTCATCTATAAATGCCAGATTGGCCTACACATGTATAAAAGAACAAATGAAGGCAGTAACACACATCAATCTATGAAAGTCCCCAATCTCTACGTATTGCTTGGGATTATTGGGCACCGTATACGTGGTTTCTTCAACTATCGATTTTGGAAGTTTAAGAGAGGTTTCATTTTCGATGGATTTTAGTAGCGATTTTTCAAACAGTCAAATTTATGTTTAGAAATTTATTATTCAACGGTTCTAAATATACTTTAAAAGAATAAAAAGATTTGCAAGTGTAAAAAATATAGAGTAAATGTATAGTCATCTAATGAAATTTATAATTTATAATTTCATGTATGAAATTATTTTTACTCATAAATAACTTTTTATATATAGAATTTTTTTATAATTAATTTTTTTTGTACTTACAAGTAAATTTACAATTTCTGTACTTAAATAATTTTTCACACATAACTATTTTTACTTATAAATTGTTTATATTTTATAAGAAAAATTTTATCTTATCAGTAGTATTTTTACTTCATAAGCAATTTTTATTTTTAACATATAAGTTTATTTCTAACTTATAAAATGAAATACTCTATAAATTCTATTTATAAATAATATTTATATATAAATTATTTATTTATTTATTTATAATTAAATATACATTTTTATTTTACAGTTATATGTGAATTTCTACTTATAAATTTTTTTATAAGTAAAATTTTATCTTATGAGTAGTATTTTTACTTTAGAAGTAATCTTTTACCCAAATGATTTTTTTAACCTATAAATAATTTTTACTTATAAGTAATTTTTGTTTATAAGTATATTTTTACTAGTTATTTTATATTTATAAATTTTTTAAAATATAATTGAAATTTTGTCTTATAAAATATATTATTTAGAGAAGATAAAATTAGAAAAAAAAATTGTAAAATAAAAAAATATATATAAAATAAAAAAAATTCAACAATTTGATGAGTTTGAAAATTTCAATCCAAATCACACTATACTGATTTTGGATGGTTAAACCACCTAAAAACAGTGTCCCAAAAAATTACCAAGCACTAATTTTTCCAGGCTTATAAACGTTGTCATCCAAAAACCGTTAAACCCAGAAAAAAATAAAAAATAAAAAATAACCCCAAACGTCATTCTGAGGTATAATAAGGGTACTACTCATCATCTCGCTCCTTTATCCCTCGTCTCACTCTTTACAAAACTGCATCTGCCTTCAAATTTTCTCATCTCACTTCTGTTTTATTATACTATCAAGATCAAACATTGACTTATTTCTTCTAGAAGACTAAAACTATCAAAACCATGCAAATATTACACTACCAGAATTCCAACATTTTAATGTAGTCATGCTGTATTTATCAGCTAATGTAAAACTTATAACAAGTTGCATCATATCATCATCTGAGGCCCTTTTAGCAAAACCATATAGATGAAGCAACATTCCTGCAATACAGAGAATAACAAAAGAATGTGCCAAAGGACAAAAACCTCACCAAACAAACGACTACAGCCACCCCCAAGGAAAAAATATGTGTTGCATTCTCCCATCCAGCAAAGACAAAATCCACATTATGATCACACATCGAAAGAGGGAAAGAACACAGCATTCCAAAGGAAATACCACTGTATAAATGGAAGGAAAAAATGATGACAAAATCTTTTTGCATAATGCAGTTACAGATAATCGGTCCAAAGAGCTAAGAACACCTTTCCAATGCCAATGAAAAAAGGAAAATTTTGGTTATCTAACCTACAAGTGGTTGTTTGTCAAGTTATTTCACTAATTGCAAGGAGTGCTATACATAGTTCCCTTTGTCGTAGCAAATGGGAATTACAAAGGAAACACTGATGTATATACATAGTTTCAATAGTTGGCTACAGGTTGCTATGGGACCACTCACATAACCACCTGCCCAAGTCCAACATAGCTTCTCCTTCTGTTGACACGAGGGACGTCTATGAACCTCAGGAAATGTTGAGGCGCTTTCTGGCACGTTCTAAACTGAGTCCATGCTGACGCAACCCATGCCAGGACTCTTGCGAACCAGAGGAACATGAGCCAAGCTTAGCAATCAAATTGTGCAAGACATCCAACTCAACAAGTGGAACAGTCGTAGGTCGTCCATGAGCACACTAGTGAAGAAAAACAGCAAATGAAGATGGAAAAACATCGACCCGTACACACATACTATCTAGGATTGTAGAAGTAGATCCCATAGTTTCTGATGTCATCAGCAGCTTACCTGAAAACAGAGTGATGTCCTTTTCAACTCTTCAACAATGAGGGAACATTCTGAAGGCAGCAGCGAGTCCCCAAACATTATTGCCCCTACAGTATGAAATCAATGGACAGACAGAGAGTTAGAAGAGAGGTTCAAATTCATAGGTAGCTCACTCTTCCACTTTCTTTTCTTTCATCATTACTTCACCTAATAGATGTTCACGGTTTGACTGCAGGAAGGAGCTAGAACACAGTTCAAATTATAGTAGAATATGAAATATTTTAAGTAGTTCTGATTACCCCTGCAGGCTTTGTTATTAAGGATCTGATGAACTGCCGGTGGTATTGTTGATGATCCATCAGTTTCAGCTAGCTATAAAATGCAGAAAAAACATGAGCTCAAAAGAACTCAAACTGATGTAAAGATGAAAATCAAGCACACCTGGTATTAAAAAATAATTAAGAAATTGAGAATTGCCTGTTGAAGAAACTCCAAGAGATGCACATCAGTTAAATCAACACCTAAAATACATGGCACCTGAAAATTACATGAGATGTCCTGCTTTAAGGAAAAAAATCGCTGATCGATAATATATGTCAGTCTATAAAATGATTAGTAGAAATATCTGTAAGCAATAGAAACATTTCTGCAACTTAATTGAAGAAAATGACATTACAAAAGTTGATAAAGATTTTTTCAGTATTTTCCAGAGCTATCTAAAGCACTGTGATAGCCAACATATGGGAAATCTCTAACAGAGAATATACAAGGTAAACATATCCAATTATATTGGAAGTGATAACTGGATATTATAATGAGCTTGGGAGGGGTCGGATAGAGGAAGAAAATAACTTTTTTTGCACTATTTTGGCTAGTTGGTAGGCTGCAAAAGATGAAAAACAAGGTTAGCTAAACATTACGCCCCCGTTTTACCCCCATTCTCAAAAAAATTATTTTTCCCTAAACTCGTGTTCAACCATGTATTCTTTAAATAAAATAATTTTGCACATAAACCTAAAACTTTAACCTACTTTTTAACCACATATCTACAAAAAATTAGTACTACAAAACACATTTTTTTACAAAAAAAATGGGGCTCAAACACACTCTAAATATTGAAAGGTTAGAGCTTTACCGCAAGAAGTGTGGCAACAGTTGGCTGCCTGTGTAGAACATTCAAATTTCTGCATGCAAAATGCATCATAAATAAGGAGACCAACATATAGCCTTAGCTGAAATTAGAGAAATCGTCTTTATTTAAAACTGGAGAACAGACCAAGAAACAACTAAAGCCAACACAAAATTGATGCTTTTAGTTATTAAGACAGCCAATGGAAATTACTGTTTTAAGGTCAGTTCGTGCTCATTAATAATCAAGTATACATGTCTCTGAGTATGAAACTTTTGCTGGACAAGAATCAGCCATTACTTTGTAAAAGACCTTGAATCCTGAGAAAGAATATTGAAGATCCAACCCCATTTCTGAATATGTTCAGCATAATTTTGCAGTAACTGATAACAAATTTCAGGCAAAACCTGTATTCCATATCAAAAACACCAAAAATCAAACGTCATGATGCAAACCAAAATAAGAGATAATCATGAACATACCAGTGTTTGCTCAGCATTTAGATAGGTGATTGTCTTCATTTCTCCAGATAGCACCTAAAGTGTTCAATCGATGTATAAATCACATTGAACAGGGCATTTTGACAGGTTACTGGGACTGTATTACCTTAGAACGCAATTCTTCCAGTCTAATCCTTTCATCAGCAGCATGCTATAGACAACCACCAGGTGCAAAAGTCAGTACATTCTAAATTGGGAGAAACAAGGTTAAACTCTCGACGTGCAAGCAAGAAGGGGCGCAAACATGAAAGTGACAAAGTTTAATGTGTACATGTTCAATTCCAACAATAATCTACAATGAAAGACTTCTGCTTGGAAAGTCGATACATAAGGAACCATCAATCGACTGATGGATCCTTACCAGGGATCAACATCATTTGCCTTCAACAAATGTAGAAGACTAGATGCTATCCATATATTTATGAACTTAGTATAATTTTTTTTGTATAGATCATTAAAAAAAACATAGGCTTAAAAAATAAATTAGGCAGAAATATTATTGAAAAGAGTCATTAAATGAAATGCATTAACCTGGTCAATAACAGCAAGGCTTCTGCCAGCAACAACCACAATAAATTTCTTGTCAACCTGATTGAGAACCTTGGCATCCTCTAGAGAGCTCTTGTCAATGGATTTAGGAACTAAGGAATCACCAGCAAGGTGCAAGATGCCAGAGAATATGTCAAGTATATGATCCTGATCTTTAAAATTATGTGCCAAGTCTCCACCCTGTGCGGTAAGGAAAGTTCATAACTTGATACCAAAACGAAAGAATCATTTCATGTAACAAGATGGTGCGCTAGTAGTACATGATAAGACAACTACAAAGATACTCAACCGCAATGTTTTGAGAATCATTCCTCCATTTTCTCCCAGAAACCGAAGTATCAAGGATCTCCCCTAATGTAAAACCTGAAAAGAAAAAAAATAAATAAATAAACAAATAATAATACCTTTAGTAAATTGAAGTTTAATTAATCATTGCAAAGACCTGATAATGCTCCTTATACAAGGAATATTAAGAATGTGTATTTTGAGATGTGAAAGTATTAAAACAATTTAGAGAGGTCAAAATGTGACATAGAAATATGTCGAGAAAATTTTATTAGTTCCATGACGAATGTAAATTTCTCCAAGCATAAACAAACTCACATTCAACAGACTTCATATTGCAAGCACTCATACTTTGGTCTGTCTTTTGCAATTTGCAATCTTGAAAGTCATGGGTTTCAGGTGTCCTCTTTAAACGTTGTCTGCAGGAAAATTTTGATCAAATGTTAGCATGTAACCAATATTTAAAAGGCTCAGCCAGGTAACAAAGCCTTTTAACTCCGTGAGGCAACACTCAAACCTTTTGAGGCATAGGCCTCCACACACAATGCAGTAAATAATTCAAAAAATTATAAAACACAAAATGAAATCTTAACAAACCATAAACCATCATAAAAAACCATAATAAAGAAATTTTAACAAATTAAAGGTAAATTGTGAACAAACATAAAACAAGTTGATGAAACAACAAATAATAAATCATTAGATGAGAAACAACATCAAATTCATTATCCACTACCAGAATTAGAAACGGCCTAAATGATGAGGACTAAATAATTTTATTAGTTTAGTCCTCTGTTTGAGCCCCATTCTTCAAAACTTATTTTTTCCCGAATACATTTTCCATCACACATTCTCCCAGTAAAATAATTTTATACATAAACCCAATACTTTTTTTCTACTTTTGAACCACATGTTCTCTGAAAACAAAATTAGTATTACAAAATCTATCCTCCCGAAAAATGGGGCTCAAACAAGCCCAACTAGAATTAGGTTATTGTTTGATAGACCGTCTAATTTGAATAAATTATGGTTTATTTACTTTGTTTGTTCCTCAGATTAGGTTTGTTTAGATCTATAGAAAGGGCTTTTGCAATTTAATACTTAAACCTTGAATATTGAACAAAAACTTATATTTCCTTCCTATAAATTCTCTTCCTCCTCTTCTTTTCTTCTTTCTCCTTTTTTTCTCAATATTGTTCTTGTTCGTAGCATCCTATATCATTAAAAGTCATCAATATCATCGACATATTTGATTTCCCTATTTTCCTCATTAATATCAGTTTCTTCCCATTGCTTTTCCTCCCAAGCTCCACTTGCAATGGTGCCTTCTTGTCACTTCCCCATCGTTTCTCCATTCCCTTTTCCTTTAAAGAGAGAGAGAGAACAGAAAGAAAATTTTACTTATGGAAAGAGTGATTCCACATGTTGTAGGTCTCTAGTCATTGGCTAACTGCTAATAAAAAGTTGTAAATTCATTTAGGAGAGGGATTTATAGCACTATAACCATATGAGGCTATGACATGCTTCACTTGCTCTTTTTTCTTTTCTCCAATCCTTTTGCCTAGTTTTTAAGGTTGTGATCAGCTAGGAAGGGTAAGACAGAGACTCCATTCCACGGTGACCCAGAAGCTTAAGCCTGCGGCATGCATTTCAGTAAGTTTTGAACAAATAATGAAGGCCTCACATTAGGTTCATATCAAGACATGTCTCAAGAACTTTCTAAAACAAGGCCAGTAACAAGTTTGACTTGAAGGGTTTAAACAGTTATAAAAGAATTTATACCTTTTAACAAAAGAAATATCCGTCTCTGATCTTTGAAATGAAGATGGATCATATTGATCACAAGAAATTAGAGAATCTTTTAAGTTGCTGGTTTCTGCACAATGTGGTGCATAACCCAGGTTGCTAGATTCTGCACGTCACAAAAAAAAATACAAGCTTATTCTTCCCCATTACATTTTATATTTATTAGTGTATAGAAGTTAGGATCAACAAAACCACCTGGAAGAAAAGACAAGCTGTCCGAGGTCTGTGAATTGATTTCCCCCGACACCATTGTGGAAGGATCACTCAACGTCAAAAATCTCTGCTTGCCTCTGTAAAATGGTGGAGCTGACTTGCTTCTTCTTGAGCTTTTCTTAATGTCAATTGCAGACATTGTCTCTTGGTTCCTACTACAAGGTTTTCCATATTTATCATTGGCTGACAGAGTGTAATGCGTTGAGGGTACTGAAAAGTTTGTGGGACGTTTTTCACTGCAAGAGGGCAAAGATGACCAATCTGTTTCCCTGAATCTTTTCAAAGGACTTGGTGAATAAGAATCCTCAAGATTGAACCCATAAAATTCATCATGCTCTCTCCTATGATCAGCACAATCCTTCAGATCAGGGGAAGAGTTCATAAAGGAGTACTTTTCTAGATGCATGTTCTCTTTTATATTATTAATTGCGATAATGCAGTCTTCTCCTGTACGTGTAGAATAGTCATATGTAGCATCTCCACCAAATTTGAAGTGATTTTCACAAATATGTATGTCAGTAAAATCATCATCCTTAAACTTGGTCTCAAGTTTTGGCTCTGATGTCACAGGGAAACTTCCGGGACTTAAAGACTGCTGACTGGGACCATATTTCCAACCTTGTCGAAATATGTCAGGTGGATTGTGGTTCTTTTCATTGAAACTGTTTCTAGCACTGAGTGATGAATTTACCAAGTCTCCGGACAAACATTCTGAACCTTTAAGTGTTCTACAAGGAGTCCTGGGAGAGGACTGAAATACTGGTGACCCATCACGCTTTAGTGACTTTCCATAAAACTTCTGGTTGATTTCATTCACTACTCTATCATCACCTTCAACGCACTTTTGTTCGATGTTGAAGTCGTCACTTCCAAACTCAAATTCCTCATCACTTGCAAGTGATGGTCTGTCATTTAGAAGGCTTCTCTGAAAGTAACAACTTCTTAGAAACGATCTTCCAGGATCCTGCCTAACATCTGCATCATCACTGGATTCAAGACAATCATCTAACAGGACACGTCCTTTTGAGACTTTATTCATGTTAGCATCAATTTTGGGGAACACATCCTCCAATCCTGAACATAAAATGTCGTTCAGTTGCTCGTCAATATCTCTCACAAAGTCATGATGCTCCACAGATAAAGCATTACAAGAAGATGGATGTGTGCTACTGTCTTTTCTTTCAGCCACTCCACAGTCTGCCAGAGTTCCATCACGTGACTGACTCAAGCAGTCAGTATGACAAACAAAACCTGTCTCTCTTTTATTCCTTTTACCCTCAGAAACATGGGGGTTTCCACGGGAGGATATGCATTCTTTCCAAGCAGGAATATTATCACAGTTTTCAGGTAGGTTCTTCAGCTTTGCTGAGGGGAATCCTGCAGAAGTTCCAAAGTTGTGGTTCTTGAATGTCCTCCTTCCACTTTGACAAGTCCCTGCCATATATTTTTCTAAATTAAAAGGAAAACATAAAAATCAGCAACCCAAAATAGAAATGAAATAGTAACCTTTATTAAACATGTTTTTATTCCCTTGTCCAAAGGACAGCATTTGCAATATCATAGTACCAGTACAAACCATATTCAAATAACCACCATCATAACAAACATAAAAATAACCATTTTACAATAAATTTCAGATTCTCTTCTCTAATGTAGCTTTAGGAAAAGAAAGGTTGAGGTACATGAGGATCTCTTTAAAGCTATATAGCACAAGAGTCTTTGCTTTCATAATATAAATGCCAAAGTTCCAAGTTCAAATAATATAGAATTGCCATTTATCTACCACAAGTTCTTTCTGACAAAGCTCCACCATTAATGATGTTTATCTCATTTGAAAACACCAAATTTTAATGGAAATTCAATTAATATAAAGCCGACTAAATTGTCCATTACCATCGGAGAAATTTTTGCTCCAAAGACATGTGATGGCATTCTCAATGAAAGTAAGTACAGGAGCCCAATCCTGGTTAGGCAAAAAGCATAAAAAAATAATTAATATTTGAATGCCTCATTATACCACATACTTCCTCTGAAATAAGAAATAGTAATGTATTGCTTGGACATATCCTATGCTAAAAATGAAGCAGATAAGAATGACTACATGTCAGATAATTGACTACTAACAGTTTAATAGAAAGGAAATTTGTAGGTAGAGCTAAATATCAGAACAAGAGTTGCATAGCCTACCCTCATATAGTTGGAATGAGGTGCACGTAAATTGAGAATTAATCATAAAATCTAGAGCAGTGCGGCAACCAGCATGTGCTTGGATCGATAAAACCATGAGAAAAGCGATTAAGTAACATCATTATTCAAAAAATAATTGGTACCCAAGATATCATTATCATAATTCTCACTTTTTAGCCTTCTATCATATGTTGGCAGAGAAACCATGAACCACTTCTGATCCTATTATTGTTTCTTTTCAAGACAATGAACCACTTGTGATGCAAGTTCTTATGTGACGCAGTTTCTCTAGAAGACAGAACATTGAACTAGAGCATACATGTAATAAAAAATTCTACACCTATATTAGATAGAGGAATAATAACCAGATCAGCACCTTAAACTCCACTGAGGTCTTTGATTGTTCAAAAGTTATTATATCATAGTGAGATATCGGGCAACTTAAGTTCAGAATGAACAGTGGACATATCTGACACCTATTTCGTTTCCCTTTCTGAGAGCCCGTGCTAGGCTTCCAAGAATTCAAAGAGTCAAATCTAGCAGCCAGCTGATTCAGCAGTTTATGTATTGGTCCCTTGCAAATGAATCTTGAGTTGATGTCTGTGTTTATGATTGAGAAAAACAAATGCTAATATATTCTGAATGAAGATAAGATTGATTTTGTGCAAATTCGTGATATGGGATTTTATATACAAGTTTTATACTCTGCTTGAATAAAAATAATTCATAATCATCCATCTCAATCCTCCAAATACTAGTTCATTAAAAATCAACAGTTTTGGAAACATCAGAGCAGACTTGGATACAAACATATTGGATTGCCTGCATACATGAACAACCATCCATCAGAGAAAGAGGAGTTAAATTGATGTATGCATCATAATTGTTACAAGCCAACTAGGTTTACAACCATACCTTTGGAGAGAAAATGTCAGAAGGACCAGAAATGCATCCAGAAAGCTTCAATACACCGTCAGATACACTCAGATCACTCAAGGAACTTGATACCTCAATCCGGAAATTATTAGAAAGTATTGGTAAAGGAGAAGGGGAAGGTTCAGTGCAAAGCAGCTCATCCTCACTGCATTTCAAGGAATAAAATGTAAACTTGTAAGGTAAAAATACTTATATCTAGCAGGTGCAGAAGGATAATACCTATCAATGTCATTAACCTTGAAGGAAACATCCAAGTGAACAAGTGCAATTCTTAGCACACACTTCTTAATTGAATCTAACACCTTCTCGGGCCTAACATTTCAGAAATATAAATCACAGCCAAATCAATTCAGTACAAATCACTTTCTGTACCACAGAAAATTAGTTAGATGATCATGTTTTAGATGTTGCTCAAAACCAAAAAGCTCGAGTCAAAAAAAAGGGGGCACCTGGATTGAATGTGCTTTCTTCGAACTGGTTGATTGTAAAATATATCACGGACAATGACTGCAAATGGCAAACGTCAAGAAACTTCTAAATTACATTAAAGGAAACAACTTTAGTGCAACTAAATATAACATAACTACTTCAACCAGGCTCAAACACAAAGAACAACATAGGATATCAAATCCATCCCCTTTTCTTTATAGAAGGGTTGAAGACGCTAATTGCCAGCTAAGTAATAAAAAGCTGTGACTATGCAGCCCTATTAGAAGGATCTTAAGAAGTAATCCCAGATCTGCACATAAACAGTCGAGACTTATACATTTTACTTAGTGTTTAGTTGGCTTAAATCACTGCAGGATGTTTTTGTCTTCTCCAATAATTAAGAAACTGAAGTTATAGTCTCACCATATCCAAAGTTAAAAAACAAAAAGAAAACGAAATAGAAGTAGTGCTTTTTTGCATGAGTACCTTTCACAATTTTCTGTCAGATTCTGATTTAGAGGCATCTTTGGGAGACGAAAACGTATGTTTCTAATTATCTCATTTTTTCCCCATTTCAAATATTTCTCTAATTTGATGTGCACCCTGATAAACTCTCTTCTTAACTCATTTTCCCATTTTCTTTCAATCTTCTATATCAACAGCATTTTTCTTTGGTTGGTCTAAAATAGCGTCTCTACATAGTACAACAATGGCGATGAAGAAAGACTGTAGGTAGGCGGATGGAAGCGGGACTTGATATTAGTAAATAAGCTCAAAGAACATAGAATTATATTATAGGAACTTTTTTTGGTCAAAAGTAGTACGGACTATTGTTCATATTTTTCTTGGAGAAAATAAACTAAAATCTTTATGAAATGTTTATGGCATGCTAAAAGTATTTGGCATAAATATTAACAAGGGGAGAATCATCCGAGGCTGCTAACTTTTCATGCACTCACAGAATTAAATCAACCACAGATAAACTTGGGAGAATCTCAACATAATGCACATCCTAATCAGGAGAATCAGACACATTGTGCCACCATTAACTTTAAATTATTAATATTTAACTTGTTCATACTGAATGCATATTAACGTGCATACAGTCCGAATTCAAGTTGGACAGAAGTCTTCCAGCAATTGTTTGTGGAAAGTATGTGATCATGATTTTCCAATTCATATATCAAAGATCATATTGTTCACTTCTTAATCTTCAATGTCCTCAATCATTATCATATTTATCTTCTTTTTTTTGTCTATGTCATTTAAATTTTCATAGATTTGCATCACTCCATCTCATGTAAGTCTATTTCAGCACTCCTTGAGCACGTGCTAACCATTTTAGTCATTTTTTTAACACACCTCCTACAGGTACAACCACAACGACATCGTGAATCTGTTATGCCCTTTTCTTTTCATAATTTATCATTGATTAGGTCGCAGTTCAATTTCAGTCACATGTCTATGCTGTCATTTTGCAGTTCCCTAATATTCTACACCATACAGTAGACTTTTTTCAGCTTTTCAAAAGAATGTATTTTTGTGAGAGCCAGGTAAGTAATAAAAGCAGTTTTCCAGGGGATTCCAATCAAAACGAATCCCTTTCACACAATTTCTCATATGCTTGTTAATTATGTTGCTTGTGACCTACTTCAATAGACTCTCCACTTAATCATACTTCACTTGGTCCTAAGAGGAACTTAATAAGGAATCACACCAAGCGACATAGTATCTGGAGGGTTTGGGCAGCAGATATCCGGAAGGAAGTAAGAGTATAATTTTGAACTGCAATAGATCTAAACAAATATGCTGGAAAGCTTGCAATAAGCACCAAAATAAGCTTGCTTCATCCAATCGAATTGTGTGCACTTTGGCTGAAGTTTTTCTTTCTTTCTTTTGACGGAAATACACAGTTTTAGCCTTCAATTTTTGACATGTTTTAGTTTCTCAAATCAGAGCCAGATCCCATAAAGATTTCAGTAGGTGCCTAGTTTCATGAATTCAAGATTATTATAAAACTTTTATATTGATAGTAGAAAGAATTCCTTAATAATACAGGCCTGCATCAAAGTTCTACCCTCAATCTTTATCTTTTTGTTTTGGTCATGGAGGTACTCAGGAGGTATATTCCAGAGGAAATCTCTTGGTACGTGTCATTTCCAAAACAACATAGTTTCAGTCAAGGAGACCATGAGAAGGATATATCACAGGTTAAAACTTTGGATGAGAACTTCCGATATTAATAGTTCAAATAAAATTGAGGAAATACTAGAAATAACAGAATAGTGACAGAGGATTATTTTTTTGAGTTATTGTTTTAAATATATAGGCTCGCAAAATCAGATCGCCATGGACGAAATGGAGAAGTGCTACTCATATGTGATAGACAGACACCTACGAAGTTAAAAAGGCAAGTTTTACATCTTCAAGAAACCAATTGTGCTTTATGGAGCTAAGTGTTCGGCCTCTAAAAGACAAAATATTCGCAAGATGAACGTAGGAAAAATAAAGCTGTTAAGATGGATTTCTGACATACTAAAATGGATAGACTAAGAAATGACGGTGCACACCAACTAGCAGAGATGGCATCAATTCAAGATAAATTAAATGATGACTTGTATAGCTGAGGTATAAATATGCAGAACTTAAAAGAATCGCAACTTCTAATTCCCAAAAGCTATACAATTTCATTGAAATAGTTAAGAAGAGGAAAAGTTACACCAAATTAATGTAGAACAATGTGATTGCAAAAAAGAAAAATTGATTTCTTTCAACCTCTTACACGTGGTGTTAGATCAAACAAAATAGTGAAAATACAGTTATTTGACCCCAAGTTCAACAGGGAAATATAGCTTAACTTCTTGTTGTTGACACTCTTGGAGTTGATTATATACGAATAATATCTTCAAGTAATTACATCAACTATATATTTTAATTATTCTATAGCCCCTGTTTGACCCCCCCCCCCCNTAAAACTCATTAACCCCCCAAAACACATTTCGAACCAAACATACTTCATGTGACCCACAACTTTTACCAGCTTTTCAACCACACGTTTCACTTACTTTTATCAAAATCTACTAAAAATCTAATATCCAAACGAAATAGGGGCATAATATTTATCCATTTGACATCATATTAATGTCTTTTACTCTGGATTGTAAAATTCTCGAAACACATTTCCAACAATTTAGTTGCTTGAAATGCTCCTCCATTATACAGTGAGATCAATATAGATTAGGCCACTTCTAGTAAAAGGCCTAGCTTTACAACTATTAATGGAATTAGGAAGATCTCATGAGCATTCATATCACCACCTTCAAATCATATGTGCAAGCTATATACTAGAAGTCAGAAGAAAAAGTGCTACAAAGAGTTGGCCTAGTTGTCAAGGTTTTGGATCCACTTTCACGTGGTTGAGATGCGAGTCTCATGACGAGAGGTTTGGGAAACAGGAAGGTTAAGCAAGAAAATAACATTGGACCCAAAAGAAATAGCAAACAAGTAAGCAAAAGATATCCTGTTTTTCTTTCGTTAGTCTTTTCCACTTGTTACTTCATCTCTTAACTTGTAGCCAATTGGGCAAAATTATAACTGCTTGTATGTATAGCACGATGGTGGAAGTCAAAAAACATATAGATCAAAGTGGAAACAACTGGTGGTCATCCATCACTATTAAAGATGATTAATCACAGGAAAATTACCTGTAGTGCCCACATCCTGTCTCTCATCATTGATTCCAAGATGCAAACACTTGCATCCCTAGACAAGAATGAAACGTAGATAACTGCAGTGGGATTCGCACAAAAATTAACTCATCATATGTTAAACATCTATGACAAAATCACTTTACCTTCATAACCTTGCGATAACCATTTGGCCTCCCACGTGCTTTTGTCACAATTTCTAACAAAGAAACATCAGAAATGGAGCCTAGTACTTCTCCTTTGAAACCAAAGCTTACAGTACCATCCGTAACCGTGAAGTTGTCAATCTTTGAAGTAGCTATTCACAATAAAAATACAAATAGTCAAACAGAAGGCAAATAAGAAATCAAACTTCAGCATCATCTAATAATATAGCAGTTCTTATGCTTGGTGGCAGATAAAACACACTCTTACATTAAACTTTTCATTGTAGATGCAAACGCATAAATTAACATTAAAAATGAAAATCCATTTGTCTTTAGAAATTACCATTTCGTTCTCCCAACAGCACCAATCCATCCCTCGTAATACCAGATCCTGCAATAATATAGATTACAGTATGAGATAAAGTGAGAAAGAGTGAGCTTCCCACCGGAATTGGAGAAGATGAAAAAACGTGGAAGTTCAATTGCAGTATGTATCAGGGAAGTGGAGGTGAACCAATGTATCATAAAAATATCACTTCTACAACCTTAGGCTTTCCCTTCCTTTCTCCTGTATTTGTCCAAATACAGTTTTGTATATTATTCCTCTTTCCCCTTAATTAGTCTCAATCATGGAGTCTAAGGCAAGAATGGAACTAACCATTGTCCACCACTATAATGTAGCAGCTGCCAGCTCCAACAGCGACAGACACCTGATGGAACAATTGGAGAGTGATTTTGTAAGCATGACATCACATAGTCAGACATTGTCATGATAATTTGACTACAAAATCATAATCATAAATAAGAAATGAAAATGGAATCCAGATAACAAACACATATACAAATGTAAGCACATCACCAAGTACATACATGCGTGCATGCATGCAAACAAACACGCACGTGAGAGTTGGAGAAGAGTACGACAGTGGCAACTAATATACAAATTAGTGTCCTATTGGTTTTTTTCTTTCTTTTGGGAGACAAATAATCCATAATTATATGAGATATTCTAGTCTCTTATTGATTAGTGTCCTAGAGTACAGTAACCTAATTTCAAGCCTACTATTTAATTTTTCGCCATTTCGTCCATCAATACAACGTCCAACTGCATAGATGAAAATTTTCGTGAAAATCAAAAGGGGGGACGTGAAGGTGTCTCCTAAGAACAACGCCACCAAAACCAGCATGTCTCTTTCTCGGATTAACAGTTTATGTGGTCTTGCCATATCAGAATAAATTACCGGTAAAGAGTGTGACGGAAATAGTAATTCCTCGCATAGAATCATCACAATCAATAATACGATTCTGTGACAACTAAAATATCATACGCTAACTGGAAACTATAAATCAAAAATTTATAGTATGAAGAAATTACCTTGGTAGCACCCGCGTCAAGACTGTTAAAAACCAGCTCTTCCACAATCCGTGTCAAATCACATATCACAATCCCCGAACGCACTGAGCTGTGAACAGCCTCCGGCAACCGCTCAATACGCCTCATCTAACAATACCGAATGTCGAGAAACATAAACCAGTAAAAAGATAACATAATTCTCACATTCGAGAAACCCATGAAACATAAACCAGTAAAAAGATAACATAATTCTCACATTCGAGAAACCCATAAAATATAACTTACAATAAAGCAGTATAATTACTTCAGCCTCACATCACCTGCACGGTTTATTTTCCGACCAATTAACAGAGAATTCCAGAAACCCATTAACAAATTCTTCAATGCATAATATCATACGAGATCAATAATCTTAAGGGAGGGCAAAAAGGGACAGAATTTTAATCGTTTTACCAGAATCTACAGGAAGTTGGAATTTAGGGGAAAAGGGGACAAGTTATTGTTCGAAGTTTGAAACCTTGATTTAAAAAAAAAAAAAAAAAAAGGCGGTCGATAACTTGCTTGCTTGAAATGCAGCAAGTCGATCTCCTCGAAAAGGCTTTTTATATTCTTGTATTTTATTTTTTAAAGCAAACTCTAATTTCATTCAAAAGTGTCACTTGTGTAACTTGTACAGGTGATATTTGAGTCATTTTATTTATTCCCCTTGTCAAACTCTACAATTCGTTTCGGTGCTACTCAATCATCTATTTATTTAAAATTCATTTTAGTTATATCATCAGGCTAGTCAAGCGTTCATTTGTAGAGAAGAAAATCATAGGTAACATTAACGATCGATTAATTTAGAGATTTAACTAGTCACGTTACGTCCCATAAAAATGGATTGTGAAATTTTTAAGGATATCAGATCGACATGGAACTTGAACCTAGCTCACCATCACAGGTATTTTTTTTATTTTTTTATTTTTACCACTTTAGTACTGTTTGCAGCACTTCACTTGAGCACGTTTGTGACTCTAATGAATTGGATGCTAAAAGTTTTTCAAAATCATCTTTCCAATGCATTTGATTTCATTGAAAATAAACTTAGAGAAATGTATTATCTAGAAATCTTACTGTTGGACACAATGATTCAGCATGGGAGCAGAACCTTGTGAATTTTGTTTTATGTAGATTTTCCCCACCATTTGGATAAAATTTTACATGTACTAACTAGACCACCAATTTAAATGATCATATTTAATAAGTACAATTAAATGAATTATGTGATATTGCATTTAATTGAATTTGTCATGCAAATGTTACCTAAATTGGTGAATTACTCGTACTAATATGACATTTTAATACAAAAATAGCTATTATAAGTTATAAAAGTTACAAGTGTTACGATTGCTATTTAAAATGCACAATAACAAACGACTGCAACACATTGCTAGGATGGCACGGTGCAAATCCTGAGGCAAGGCCAAAGCTTAAATTGTGATATAGTTGCGACGATATCCGGTGGTGGTTGCGGTGTGATTTTGAGTGATTCATTGTGAGATTGTATAGTAGCCTCGATGGTATTAGGTATGTTAGCATAGGTTGGGGTTGGGGTCGGAGTTAGGTGTACTAATTCGCTTTGGATTGATTTGGGTGGAATACTCAATCCCTGTTTAGTAGAAATTAAAAATTAAATTTTAATTTAGGAGAAAGTTAACAATTATTTTTAACCATACATTTTATGGAATTTGCAATTTTTTAGTCAAATATTTCATTAATTTTTATCAAAATCTATTAAAAATTTGATTTTAATTCCCACCAAACGGATGCCAAATGTTTTTAGGATTAAGGCCCCATTTGGTACCCATTTTTTTCAAAATGCATTTTTCTCTCTCTCTTCTTTTCAACCACACATTCTTTATTAAAATAATATTAACATTTGTAGGAGCTAGACACTCTCTCTCTCTCTCTCTCTCTCTCAGGGTAAACAAAAGCATTCTTCCTTTTTACTTATGTATTTCTTTATTTGAGATTAAGGTAATTCTTATTTTACATAATTTTTTTAAGATGGAGATTGTTAGTTAAACTATTTGCATTTTCCTTAAAATTGAAAAGGCTTAATGCAAATATATAAATAAATTGTACTGTAAGTACAAGAAAAGGAGCATAGTCAAATTTTCATGCCCTTTAATTTGATTACATGTCGAAAAAGATGAGGAACGACGCGGATAATAAGAAGAGATAAAAGAAATAAAAAAAAAAAAATTTGCCATCAAAAATTCCAAATGCCATAGACGTAATATAGGTAAGAACAAAGGACAAAAACTATTTATCATTGCTAATTAGAAGATTTATTTTTTATTTTTATTTAATTTTTTTTTTTTTATGAAACACATATTTACAGGATTCGCCTTACAGGCTTCTAGAATTGGAGCCAATCGATGTCTCTGGCGTAAATATATATAGAAATTTGTAGTGGAGTTTCGAACCTTTTAAAAAAAAGGTATAGTGCCTATTCGGTAGTGATTTTGAGAATTGATTTTTTAATCGTTAGGAGAAAAGTGGAAGCAACCTGTGAGAGAAGAAATAAAAAATTACGACTGGAACAATGAAATAACGGTCAAAAAATTAATTTTTGGGGATGAAAAATCACTCCCAAATGGAGCCATAATATAATGGGATTTTTAACCTTTAAAACGTAATAAATACGTCTTAAACTTCTCAAAAATATGCGATAGAAGGATCTATAGATGATTTTCACCTAAAAATCGTTGATTAACCAAACTTTAAGCAATTGATCATAATTTGGCCATTTTTTAAAAAGAGTTAAATGATAATCCTATATTTTTAACTTAAAATAAATAATTAAAAAGAAATGAAAATGAGAAAATAAATAAAAAGGAAAACAAAAGGGAAAAATTCATAAGAGGATAAATATCATCCATTTTAAAACTAAGAATAAAAGTTTCAAATTTAAAAAATCTGATATTCAATAAAATTTATTTATGATTTAATTAATTATTTATATATTTTATTAATTAAATATATTAAAGTTACAAATTTATACAATTTGGTTATAAATTATTAGTTAGTCATATATTATTTTTCGATCATAAATCAAAATTTTTATATATGACAAATTATTTTATAGTCAGAATTCAAAAATTTTAAAGATTACAATTTATTTCTCGGTCACTAATAAAAAATTTATAAAACATAATTTATTTATCGATCACAAATTACAAGTATCATAAGTCATAACTTATTATACAGTCACAAATTGTCAAATTATCGATCTCAAAGTAACAATTTTTTAGAATACATATTATTATTTTTTATCACGATTTATCTTTTTTATTGGTTACATATTGTTTGTTGATCACAAATTAACTAATTTAATGGTCACTGTCAACCAAATTATTTGCGACCGCCACCAAAACTTACAACCACCATCTCACCGCTCTACCCACGACAACTGCTAGATCACCGACGCCGCTGCCACGGCTATCAACACCACCACCACTATCGCTAGATGCACCGCCATTGCAATTGCCACCGCCAATTCCACTTCCACTTCCACCAACTCTAGATCCACACCATTAGCAACCTCGATCCACCATCATCGTCGCCAATCAAACCACCCCAACATCACCACACCATAGAAATCACCACCATCAACAAAAACTTCGTTCACACCGTGCACCATCCCCATCAACTCTAGATCCACCATTAGTAGCCCCGATCCACCATCGCCGCTGCTAAAAACCCACCCCTACATCACCACACCACCACCGTTGAAAGCTAACCAAGAACTCTATTCACGTCGTGCATTAGATTGCGATTTTTCTCAAATCTGACACCATATCACTCATTGCCGAAAACCACAAACTATAAACATGACCAACGCTTAACCAATAGATCTAACATCACCGTTACTCAACCAATGTGCTGCTGCAATACCTCTTAGCCATCTAGTGACCTTGCGCGTGGTAGCCCTTCGTGCGACTGTAATGGTCGTCGGCATCTCAATATTGCATGACGGTATTGGTTGCTTCAAAGTGACAGGCTACAGCATCATCTTTGCAGTGGCACTACTGCTTCAAAACAATGTCGCTCAGTGGTCAAGGCGGTGTGATGACGATGGTAGCAGCGTTTTCATGAGAATGGCATTGTCGGCATAGAGAGAGGAGAGTGTGGTGAGGAAGATGAGAATGGAGAGAAGAAATGGAAGAAGAAAATGAATTAGGATTTGAAATGAAATATGGCGTGTGTGTGTACATATATATATAATATCTGATTTTTGAACAGTGAAACATCCAACCTGATTTTAGAATTGTGAATTTTTAAAATAAGATGTGATGAAATTTCCACAAAACAAAATTACTTTATCTTCCACCCCCAACCTAATTCTCCTCATCCACGCTAGCTCTAGTCAGAGTCAATTCCTTTGATTTTCAAAAACAGATCTGCCCTATATTTAATAAGACAAGAAATTTGCATCATTGATGGACGTCTCATCAATCACTCGAAAAGGATTTTTGTGTAAGATCGGATCTCTTGGGAGAGGTGATGATAAAGGTGTTTTAGAGCATCAGCTTCAGTATAGGGACCTCGGTATAAATCACCTCAGCCAATGCACTTCAATCCTCAAGTGGTTGGATCACGTCAAAGGCTTTGCTTCTGGATGTTGTGTATTCTTCATTGGCCTTGGGGCCTCGCCCATCGAGCCACGTGGTCTAGCTCAGGTGGATCACGGCCCGAGTGGGTTGGCCAAGTATACCAGTACGTAACAAGATTTGTGAAGAAAATTGATATTGCCCATGTTTGGTATTCATTTTCTATCTCATTTTCTTTAAACACATTTTCAATCAAACAATTCATGAAAATTACGATTTTTATCAACTTTTTAATTACACATTTATCATTTTTTTAATCAAAATTTACTTAAATATCAAATTCTTATCTAAATAAAACAGGGTCTTCGTAAAAGATTTGTGATTTTCATGGAGAGAGGAAAAAAAAAAGGTCAATTTATAATGAGAAATGGGAAAGAAAGATCAGGACTGGATTCTGACCATGGTTGGGGTTGGAGTGGGTAAGAAAGTAAATATAAATGTTCTCTCTCTCTCTCTCTGTTTTTTTTTTTTTTTTTTTTTCCATCTAATTTGAAAAATGCGGACTTATCATTTTGTAATTTCTACATATGGTCAAATTATGATCAGACACTTCATTTTTGATCACTAAAGAATTTTTTGATGGAAACCATTTCAGAGGCCCTTTTATCCCATTTTTAATAAGTTAGGGACGTATATGCTATGATTTAAAAGTTTAGATCGCCTGCACCTTTTTGAAGGGACCTCCACTGCAAATTTCTGTATATATAATAATCTTTAACGTCTCTCTTTCTTTCTTTTTTAACTGGTTTTGGTTTTTACAACAAACCATCTCCTCTCATATATATATATATATTTTCTCTCTTCTTAGAAAACCCTAATTTCAACTCTTCCTCTCCTCTTTAAAAGATGAAAAGATCCGGTATTCGAACCTCTCAATTTCAGCTTAATTCTATCTGATACTATGTATTTACAGCGTTTGTACACGATCAGATTTGCATGATTGTCTTAAATCAGGATTTAATTATGTGAATTATGGTTAATTTTGATCGTAATTGTGTTTTATCTATGCTTGAAGTTGGGAAATGTCTGTATTTCGTTGAATACTGATTTCTTGTCTCATCTTTCAGGGGTTTATGATTGTTATGTTTCTCATGGGTTTGAATTGAATTTTGTGTAACTTCTTATCCTGGATTCAAATTTGTGTGATGATTGAATTTTTGTTTATTTTATGTCAAATTATGCGTAATCTGATGTGGGTTTTGGGAATTTTTGATGGATATGGATCTGGTTCGTAGCTGAGAATAGTGTGTGCTAAAGGTTTAAATATTTTTTTGTTGTTTGTAGTGTGAAGGATTTTAAAGCTATTGGTATGCATATAGATGTAGAAAGAAATGGAGACAAACACATGTGATGTTAATCACTTGGGTGCGGATGCCCTTTTGCCACCTCGAAAGCGGCTTTTGGCCGGATTGAAGAGACAGAATTCTGATATTAACTGCCATACACCATCTGCTTCTTGTAATGGTCGGAATGGATATGATACTCGCTTTAATAATGTATTGAGATCCAACTTGGCGAACCCTAATCTTTCCAATGAGGAGCTTGTTGAAGCATCCAGATTGGCTGCTGTAAAAGCGACAAAGGCTGCAGAGGCTGCCAGAGCTATTGCTGAAGAGAAGGCTGCTAAAGCAGCTAAGGCTGTGGCCGCTGCAAAGAATGCTTTGGAACTTGTTGCTTCTCTTTCAGACGACAGTGCTAACAAAGAAAAATATCTGAAAAAGAACAAGATGAAGAAGCACGTCCCTGTTCAGACATTGTACAATAAGCAGAAAGGAATTTTAAATTGCAAAGCAGATGAAGAAATAGCCCGGAATCTGCATCGTGCCATCAACAGTTCCCCAAGAATTTCAAAGAATTCCCCTTCTTCTGATTTGAAGAATCATAAACATAAGAGGTTGAAGAGGTCAGCTTCTGGAAGAACCGTGGTTGACAGTGGAGGTTCAGTCTGGGAAGGGAATCAATCTTCCATGAGCAATGGGAATGGGGCAGTAGGAAAAATACATACTGAAGGACTAGTAAAGGAGGTAGACATGATTACGGTAGATCTAAACACATCAAAATTCAACAATGATGACCAACCAAAGTTGGAAAATGGAGAAGGATCACAATATAATAAAGCTGAGCGACTTAAATTGGAAAATAGGGTAATAGGATCACTTCACTCAAAGGAGAAATTTTCGGAATCATTGGATAGTTTTGTCAAAAAGAGGGGAAGGATTAAACAAAAAAAGTTGCCTTTGAGCATTTGTAGTTTCAGAGATCGAACAAGCCCCAAAGAGGAGCTGAAATCTAAAGGAATGTTAGACACACAAGAGAATACACTCAAAGCTGCAACTGTCAATAAGTCAACATTTTCTGTAGGTCCTTCTGGTGATAGTTTGATGCCTGTGGAGAGGACATCCATGTGGAAGTGCCAGGCTTTCAAGACACCTGGTTGTGTTAAACCAAATAAAGTCATGCAGTCGTAGTAGTGTTCATAGTTTTATTTGAAAAAATGGGATGCTACCATGATAGGAGTTGATGGCCAAAGGTTGTTCTTTACGCATTTTTCTTTTGATAAGGCCTTTTTTTGTTCCTGTTTTCTATTTTTATTTTATTTTATTTTTTGCTTGTTGGTGGCACTGTAAGGATTTTGAACTTGCTTAAATGTAAATCGATCTGTTTGAGTGCTTCCATTATTTTTGTTGCACTTTTAAATTTTGCAACATGTTTTGTTTTTCTTTTCTTGAGATGCCTTTTTTTTCCTGTGGAATTGTGTTTTAGTAAGTAAATCATACTGAAGTGAGACTACAGTTACAGATTTGTGTTCTAGTCATTCTTCTTCCTTTTCGTCGTGGTGAAGCTTAAGCCGAAAACAATGAGGGAAAGTCAATTTGCTAGCTTTTGCGTCCTCTGAGAAAATCGTTCTTGTGTACATTTTACCATCTTTTGAAATCTATCTCCCGACTTACTTATTAGAAACATTTTTGCAGCAAATGAGTCATGATCTAATCAGTAACATCGAAAATGAGTTTCATTTGCTAGAGTCTCTTTCAATCCTCTGTATTTTGGGGTTGTTTAGTAGGGATAGACATTTGGGGAGTAATAATGAACGCTGAATGGTTGTGAGAAGCGCAAATAGGGTTCTATGAAATTCATTTAATTGTCATCGCTTTATGATAAGTAATCTTTACTGCTTCAGATGCATGATATATACAGATGATATTCACCTTGTGAAAATGGCACTTTTCAGGCTTTTTTCTTATTCGTTTGAAGCAATCTTTTTTTTTTTTTTTTTACAAAACTAACAATAACAATAATTTAAAAGTTTTAAAACCTAGTTAATTAACCAATTTGTCTCAATTATTCGTTTGAGCATGAATATGTCAGTAGGCAATTTTATGCATAGTTCTGACTGGGACAGCTTAACAGATTTGTGTTTTACAAAATATAATTTATTGTGAAATCAAATAAAGATGAACATCATATATAGTTATAACATGGTAAACCCCTAAAGAAAATATCCACGACTCCCATGGCACGGGTAAAATAATCCACTGCCAAAGAATAAAAAATAAAATAGTTTCGGTTTTGTAATTTCACAAAATTAACAAAAACAACCAAAAGTAAATAAATAACAACTTATTGTTTTCTTTCTTCTTTTGATTTGTGGGAGAAGTGAAATCAAATTCTCTAGTGTTGACTTTATCGTCACTTCACTATCATATTCAGTCGCAACCATCACTTGGATTAAAATTCACCAATTTTAACTTATTCCAAGTAGTCTGGTCTTTGAGTAGAATTATATTCACGCTCAAATGTGTTATCTTCAATTACATTTGAAGAATCCGAGTTTTACTTTGAGATATTTCAATAGACCATCAGTCGGTTAGAACTTATTGAAGATGGTAAAAAGATTTCAGAATTTGTTGCTACAATTTCGCTGGCATGGATTTTTCTCGAAGTAGTAGTTCATCCATTAATGATTTTCTTTACTTACGTAAAGATTCCTCCAAAGTACAAACGTGCCTTACCTAAAATATGGAAGTTTTGCACAGTACGAATAATATAGAATGTATTCGATATGGTCAATATTTAAGTTAAGGAAAGTTTTAATTTGTTAAAATTATCTTTCTTCTTTTAATTATTTGACCAATCAAATTAGTGAAATAAAGTAAATATATATTTTTGTATACATATAGAATATGTTTGATATGGTTTATAATTAAATTGAAAAAAGTTTTGATTTGTTAAAACAATCTTTCCTTTTTTTAATTATTTGACAAATCAAATCGGTTCAATAAAGTAAATATATATTTATGTATATGTTGTTATATGGAAGGTAAAGATTACACCTCATTCGAAAATCCAAAAATTCGCAGCAAAGAAATTTGTTTATCCTTTTATACCCAATCAACCATGACTGACAGGCTTATCCATTTGGACTTCTCTAGTTGAACACATTTTTGGCACATGTTTTGACATTTAACAATCATTATATAAGTAAGACAATAATTAAATAGTAAGTAAAAATATATAATATATTTTGCTTACAATCTTTCCCTTTGACTTAGCTTAATTTCAAATCATCTTTTGAATTTTCAATGTCACTTTTGTGAGTGTGTATAATGTTTGCAAAATAAGGAACATGAATTACTCTTCATTAGTTAGCTCTCTTAAGTAACACACAACTCCCCCTAACTTCATGAAACGAAACAATGTATCACATAGTATGTAGACCTAGTAAAAGCTAAACACATATGCAACAGCACAATATAAATAAGAAGTAATACACCTGCATAGCACAAAACAAGCTTCCTACATATAAAAAATAGTGATCAAAATCAAAAACTACTCCTCCCCCCTTTTTTGAAATTAAAAAACCCACCATATAAAGTGAAACAAATAGGCAAATAGTAAGTTTAAAGAGTTGGAGTAAAAATGATAGAACTAATCAGTTAGTGGACTTCTTGGCCCGTTGAAGGTTGGTCTGGACTGTTTGTTTAGAGTTGGGGTTCAATGTCTCTCTAACTTTCTTAAGCAGGTCAAACGTGACGCTCTCTTCAGCAGGAGCAGTCACAATAGCATCTCTGCTTTAGTTTAACGTGATAGAAAGTTAGAACCTTGTCTTTTCGATGCTGCATGAGTGGAACTAGCTGGTACTAAGGATAATCAATCTTCCCTCACTTACATCTGTCATTTAGAGTGAATTATCCAAATGGTCACTAAACTTTGTAAAAGATTTTTACGGGGTCACTGAACTTTAAAAATCATCAAATTCATCACTGAACTTTGCAAAAGATTTTCACGAGGCCACTGAAATTTAAAAATCACATAATTCATCACTGAACTTTGTAAAAAGTTTCCCAGGGATCACTAAATTAAGTGATCCATGGGAAACCTTTTGCAAAGTCAGTGAACCCGTGGAACCTTTTGTAAAATTCAGTGATGAATGGGGTGATTTTTAAAGTTCTGTGACCCCACTAAAATCTTTTGCAAAGTTCAGCAATGAATTGAGTGATTTTAAAGTTTAGTGACCCCGTGAAATTTTTTTGCAAAGTTCAATGACCACTTGGCTAATTTACTCCTGTCATTTGTAGTCTGCAAAAATATCTTGAAACTACAAAATTTGAAATCAAATGCAATGAGTACTTTTTCAATCAACAAGGCTGAATTCAACCCCTTATATTCGCACCAGATTTTGTTCTTAAAACATTTTTGCTCAATTTTATTTTTATTTTTTTTAATCTTTCTGCAAAAGATACTAGAGTTTATTGTAGCCCACACATGTTAATCATGCAAAAATATGGAAATTTACCAACAAAAAAAAATGAATCAATCACAATATTTATGGACAAATTTCACAATTAGTTTAAAACTTTCGAGATAAGCATGAAATTTCTATTTAGATGTTTGCTCACAATTAATTCCTCAGATTAAAACGTAAGTGTATGATAGGACACTTTAAACATAAATAATTATGAACCATGTCCTAATTTAATTTAACACTTCCAATGACTAAATGCTAAAGTGTGTTTCAAATCAACCATCATCACATATTGTCTCTTTAAATAAAAATATGTGCGTGCAATATTAGAGCATCTGTACAATTATTTTTTTTTATTATTATTTTTGTATGTTTTGTATACTCATGTGATGATTTTTATCTATATTCTTTTTCATTCATAATCTTTTCAATTCACAGAGTTGACTTTTACATAGACATAGGGGTAGCTTTTCCTTCATGATTTATGTTCATTATCAAGGGTGGCTTCACACGTCTATGGTGGTAGACATCTTCTTCAATGAATTTGTCTATTTATACAACATCATATTGTAGTGCAGAGAGACATAAATATTGACCATAGGTGTACACTTGAACACATGTCACCTTCAGATGCATACCTAATCATTAAATGGCCACAATAACGTTGTCATGGTGTCCTAATAGAGTATTTATCTAACAGTAATTTACCATAAGTTAAAATGAGCACACCACACTGATTGAAGATTTCAATTTTATCTCAAAAACCACAAACCAATCTAAATTTCACATTTTGTGATATTTGCGAGAAGAGCCCCAATTTTTTATTTTTATTTTTTAATCTTTTTCAACTTTTTTCATATGAATGCATAACATGCGCAAATAAAATGAACACACATAATTAAACAAAAAAAAAAAAGGATTGTGTACATCGAACTTTCTTTTAATATATTATACATATGCTATCAACATTTTGCAAAGTTTCAAATCGAACAATATCTAAAGCCTCGATAAGTAAATCAGCAATTGTCCTTTAATATGAATGTGTTCTAAGACAATAATATTTCTTTCAACTAAGTCTCTGCTGAAATGATGTCAAATATCAATGTGCTTAGTTCTAGAATATTGAACAGGATTCTTAAAGATATTTATAACACTGAACATCTGCTACATCCCACGAAAGTAGCCATTCCTCCTACATGACTTTCAAAATTAGTTAACACAGAACGATTACAAGTCATGTATCTGGAACAACCACTAACAGAGTACCGGGAGCTAGGTACAATAGATTTATAAGCAACATTGACAGTATAACTCCTAAGATCACTTTTACGTATCCAAACTTGCCTTATTCTAGCCTTAGAATTTTGTTTTATAGCGTAGGTTAGCAAGTTAAGTCTCTTAGTGTGATTCAATTTTCTACATATCAAACAATGGTGTGAATTTTGTCCAAACTGATCACGAGTATAACATCTGACTGTGTGTTGTGACTTGTTCGATATTTTACCTATTTATCTGATCCTGTAATTTGAAATGGATTTTTAGAGGTAGTTAAAACTTGTTGTAGAGTGTCAGTTAGTAGAACTATCCTACTGGTGTTAGGTCTGTTTAGCACTTTGACAGCAGATTTAGATGGTTGACTTTGTAATTTTTTAGATCTTACTGCTACTTTTAACAAACTTCAACTGGGTAGATTCTTTCTTTTTCTTTTTCCTTCATAACCTAAGCCTTCTCTGATATTTGTAGTTATTCCATGCTGAGAACTTCATTTAGGCAGGCGGATCTGATGGTCAACTACCTAACTCTTTCCTTGGTGTGGCCTAATTCAGCCAGGAGTTCCAAGATTTGATTTTCTTTCTTTGTTAAGCATTTGGTGAGGGTTTCTCTTTTAGCAACAATTATAGCTCTTTCTTTTTAAATGAACTCTTTCATGGCATAAAGAGTGA